CCCGTGGGGGGGCAGGGAGCCGGGGGTCGGCGCGCAGGGCGCGGGCGGGAGAGCCTCGCCGCCCTGGCATCGGGTCCGGCTGGGCCGACTCAAGTCCCCTCTCGGACTCGCCGTCGTGGGGAGTAGAGACCGGGACGGGGACACGCCCCCCTCCCGGGGCACTCAGGGAAGTTATCTAACCCGGGGGCAGGGAGCCCCGAATTTGAGGGTGACCTGACATAACCTGGCATCAGGACGATTGTTCTGAATGAGACACGCAGGCCCAGGGAGGCAGCCGTTTCTACTCTGGAATACCTCTCCAGAAAAGCTCCCAAAACACATCTGTGGGTGACAGCACCCCAATTATGATACCTCTAAACAACAAGAGAAGGTGACAGTAGAAACTGAGCGGTAACCTTTGCTTCTGCAACCATCGTTTCTGCTAAAATCTCAAGACCAGGATATAATATCCCAGGGGAGCTCTGTAAGCTGGGAATCTAGAGAACTAGGTTGGGGGGGTGGTTAGGGAAAGGAGAGCTAGTCACTGGAGTTGGAAGAGCAGGAGTCAAAAAGCTCGTGAGGGGTGCGGAGTGGTTTCCTATCTGGGTGTCTCAGGGATTTGAAGACTGGGGGCGCAGCCGCTTGAGCCCTTGAGAGAAACATAGCCAGAGAAAACATGGCCAGTCGCTCAGCATTCATAACCTCCTCCTCCCATCCCTCTTCTGACTAGGCCCCCCCAGGATGCAATGGCACAGCCCCCCCGGCTGAGCCGCTCTGGTGCCCCCCCACTTTGGGACCCAGCTTCCCCTGCTCCCACCTCAGGCCCCAGGCCTCGACTTTGGGAGGGTCAAGATGTGCTGGCCAGATGGACGGATGGGCTGCTATACTTGGGGACCATCAAGAAGGTAAGACCTTTGACCTCTGACCTGTCACCTTTTCCCCATTCCGCTTATCTAGTTCTGGTTCTTGTTTCATCCTCTGTGCTCATCCATTCCAGGTGGACAGTGCTCGGGAGGTGTGTCTGGTCCAGTTTGAGGATGACTCCCAGTTCCTGGTTCTATGGAAAGACATTAGCCCTGGTGAGACCCTAGAGGCCTGAGAGTGTACCTCCCCGGAACACAGAAACCTGGCTCGGGGACAGAGAGGGGCTGACCGACAAACCCCCTGACACTGTTCCTTCACAGCTGCTCTCCCTGGGGAGGAACTCCTCTGCTGTGTCTGTCGCTCTGAGACTGTGGTCCCTGGGAACCGGCTGGTCAGCTGTGAGAAGTGTCGCCATGGTGAGACAGGAGGACACGTGAATGGTCCAGCTTGCCCTGGTCCTTCCAGGCTACTTCTGACCCTTCACTCCAGCACTGGTCCCCAGGCCACTGCTCTTGCCAGTCTCCTTAACCATGTAACCTCACTCCTTTCCAGCACAGGCAGAGGCAGCCATGGAATGGGGATGTGTGAGCTCTGCAGGCAGAGGGTGGTTCAAATACACCCTTTTGTAATCGTATGACCTTGGGCAAGACCCTAAACCTGTAGGAACCTCAGTTCCCTTACCTGTAAGATAATGGTAATACACAGAGCCCAGCAGGACCATGGTCAAGGATTAAGTGGGACGGATAAGACTCTTCCTGTCCCAATACCTAGCACACGCAGGTTGAAAATAAGGCTGTAATACATGTACAGGTTGTAATAAGTGGTCTACCATCAATATTATCATTATTCAGCTTATCACCAGGACTGCCACGTTCCAAGGGCCCCAGCCCCTGGAGAGGGAGAGGGCACATCCTGGGTCTGCCGCCAGTGCGTTTTTGCCATCGCCACCAAGGTAAAGGCACCTTCCTGTGGGAGCCTCCCACTCACATCCTCTCCCAAGCCGTTCCTCACTCCCCTGAGGTGGCCCACCTGTTCTGTCTCTGCAGAGGGGGGGTGCGCTGAAGAAGGGCCCCTATGCCCGGGCCATGCTGGGCATGAAACTCTCTCTGCCATACGGGCTAAAGGGGCTGGACTGGGACGCTGGACATCTGAGCAACCGGCAACAGAGCTACTGTTACTGTGGTGGCCCTGGGGAGTGAGTAATCAGAGGCAGAGGGTTAAGGAATGAGTAATGTGGTGGTGGCAGAGGGAAATCCTAGGGAGTGAAGGAGAAAAAACGGTGAGGGGTGCTGAATGGGGTGGAAGTAGGTGGTGAGCAGGGTTTGGGGCAGTTAAGGGGGGAGTGTCTGGAGGTCACTAGTCCTGTGTCCCCCTCAGGTGGAACCTGAAAATGCTGCAGTGCCGGAGCTGCCTGCAGTGGTTCCACGAGGCCTGTACCCAGTGTCTGAGCAAGCCCCTCCTCTATGGGGACAGGTGAGACCAGGCCAGACTCGCCAGGAGCCCAGGGAGCCCTCCTGCTCTGCTCCACCCTCTCAGATCCCTTCTCTTCCCCACCTCTGAAGCCTTCCCCACCTGTTCGCCCCGTCCTTGCTTGTGAGTCCTTCATGGCAATGGTATGGTCTCCCACATAAGGTATGTTCTCTCCCTCTTGCTCACGTCCAGGTTCTATGAGTTTGAATGCTGTGTGTGTCGGGGGGGCCCTGAGAAGGTCAGGAGACTACAGCTTCGCTGGTGAGCTGGATTGGGCATGACCTCAAGCTAACTCCTCTCTCAGCAGTATTTCACCCTACATGCCCCAACCTCCTACCTCGGGACTCCCTTGGCTTTTGTAATGCTTCCACGACCTTGACAACTCAATGTTTCTGCAGGGTGGATGTAGCCCATCTTGTCCTCTATCACCTCAGTGTTTGCTGTAAGAAAAAATACTTTGATTTTGACCGTGAGATCCTCCCCTTCACCTCTGAGAATTGGGACAGTTTGCTCCTTGGGGAGGTAAGGGGTATGAAGCTTTGGCGCTTAGGGTGGAACAGGGAGATGTGAAGAAAAGGGGAAGGGAGGGTTCACTGCTTTCCTGACCCCATTTTCCTTCCTCGCCCGCAGCTCTCAGACACCCCCAAGGGAGAACGTTCTTCCAAGCTCCTGTCTGCTCTCAACAGCCACAAGGACCGGTGAGTTGGAAGGAGGCTCAGAAAGAGATGGAGATGTGGATGTGGAAGCCTAGGAGGGGAGGGGCCGCAAGCTACCTGGATCATCTCTGAAAAGGACTGAATGATGGCATAAGAGGGGTCCTTTTCTATAGCACTGACCCTATATCATTTCTCTCCTCACCCCAGTTTCATTTCAGGGAGGGAGATTAAGAAGAGGAAATGCTTGTTTGGTCTCCATGCTCGGATCCCTCCCCCTGTGGAGCCCCCTACTGGAGATGGAGCCCCCACCAGGTCACTGGTCCAGGGGGGATGGGGTATAATCTGGGGGTATATGTATGGAGATGGGGAGGTCTTTGGGGTGTCCGGGAGGGGGCTGGGGGGATAAGGAGGCCTCTTACAGCTTCCCTTCAGGGCAGGGCCCTGGGGGAGGGGTCTCACGTCCCCTGGGGAAGCGCCGGAGGCCGGAGCCAGAGCCCCTGAGGAGGAGGCAGAAGGGGAAAATGGAGGAGCTGGGGCCACCCTCAGCAGTGCGCAATCAGCCCGAGCCCCAGGAGCAGAGGGAGCGGGCTCGTCTGCAGAGGGCACTGCAGGTACAGGGGCAGAGGGAACGCCATGGGGCAAATGGCGGTGTGGGAAGCAATCAAGGATTCTCTCTCAGTCCTTTGCTCCTTCTTCCAGGCCTCAGTGTCTCCACCACCCCCCAGCCCTAACCAGAATTACCAGGGCAGCAGCGGCTACAACTTCCGGCCCACAGACGCCCGCTGCCTGCCCAGGTGAGTGCTCCTTCACCCAACCAGATGTGCTCCCTTGGAACCTCCCCTCCAACTATCTATATCCTCTGGACTTTCTCACCCCAAATTCTTTTCCCTCTCACCCTTGGCTTCCCACTTCTTGTCTTAGAGAGACTTCTAGAACCAGTGTCTGATCCCCAGTATTCTGGGGATGGGGGTTCCTTGGGGTAGTGTTTGAGCTCTGCCCTTCTCACGGGGAGAGGGTCTGTTCCCCTGCCTCAGGTCCTGACTTTCCCCCTCCCCAACCCCAGCAGTCCCATCCGGATGTTCGCTTCCTTCCACCCCTCTGCCAGCACCGCAGGGACCTCTGGGGATGGTGAACCCCCAGACAGGTGAGATTCTACCCCTTTACCTGTCACACCCCTCTTCACCTCTGTGTTCTTAAGTTCTCAGTGTCTGTCCATTTCTTCATTCCTCTGATCCACATGGGGCATCCACTTCTGGTCAATCTTCATCTGCATCTGGACTCACAATTGCCCTCTTTCCCTAGGTCACCCCTGGAACTTCACATTGGTTTCCCCACAGACATCCCTAAAAGTGCCCCCCACTCGATGACTGCCTCATCTTCCTCAGTCCCAGCCTCCTCCCCAGGTCTTCCTAGACGCTCAGCTCCCCCTTCTCCTTTGTGCCGTAGTTTGTCTCCTGGGACTGGGGGAGGAGTCCGAGGTGGGGTTGGCTACCTGTCCCGAGGGGACCCCGTCCGGGTCCTTGCTCGGAGAGTACGGCCTGATGGCTCTGTGCAGTACCTGGTTGAGTGGGGAGGTGGGGGCATCTTCTGAACAACCTGCCTCTGTCCACCTCCCCATTCACACACACCGGCACTTTCATACCCTGACCTCTGACCTCACCTACAGCTGGGATGTACCTGGGGAGGTAGGGGGTCATTCTCCCTGCTGCCCAGGCTGGAATCCAGGTCGGGGGCTGGGGAAGAGGTTCTCTCTTCTCTACTCCCTTCATGATTCCTGACCCTTCCCCCATCCCTCTTCCCATTTCCTTTGATGTTATTTTGTTACAGCTTTTTAAATATTTTTTAAAATTATTTAACCCCTGGGGACGGAGACTGAGGGGGGAGGGGGGAATGATAAAGGATCCCAGACTCTGTATGATTGAAATAAAGATAAATAAACAAATCCAGCATCCCTGAGTCATTGTGAAAGATAGGACTAGACTAATTTTCCCAACCAAATTTCCATATGTGACAAGGAAAAAGGCAAAAGGCAGCAAGAACCAAAGATAGGATTTATTAGGGTGCCATCACCTGGAAGTCAGAGGGCACTGAAGTGTATGAGGGGAACATGGCAGGAACAGGGCTCATCATGGTTGGACTGTGCTGGAGTCAGAAATAACTGTCACCTGGCGCACCCAATTCAGGTATGGGATGTTCCCCTGCTCCACAGGCAATGCAATCACCTCGGCCACTTCATAAGGGTGCACAGAACTGTGAAAAAGATGGGGGCGATCACTCAAAGACTTACCCAAAGGAGCACACCCCCTCAGACTGCCCAGCAAGTCCCACCACACAGTATACACCCTCCCCCCAACCCATCTCCAAGTTCTCACCGAACAAAATCTGTCAAAGCTGGAACCAAGGAACTTTGGGTTTTAATCATCTAAGGGGTGAAGACAGACATGGTTGAATCAAGGGGTGGGGGTGATGGATTTCAGGATCAGGTGAGGGATAGGGTCAAAGGGGTCAGCCAGTTGACGTTTTGTTGGGTGGGGGAATGTTTCTCACCATCAGCACCTCACTGTCCTCCTCAATCTTTCCTTTCCACTCATAGCTGAAAAGGTCAGGGAGAGAGTGTTGTGGGAGAAAAGATTTCCATCAAGGAAAAAGACTGCCAGTCAGCCCCTAGAGTTAGCTTAACCCCCCAACTCCTATGACTCACATGGATGTAATCTTAGGGATGAGGTTGACGCAGGCTGCCAGGTGCTTCTCCACTACAGCCCTGAAGGTGAAGAGACAGCCCCATTCAGAGCGCCCCATGACCCGGATTTGTGCACTGGCAGCCCAGAGACAGGCTTCCCAAGCCGGAGCAGGCAGGAAGCAGCGGGCGGGCACTGTTCTCGCCCACCCCCAACTCTCCCTTCATGATCATTCTTCCCTGCTTCACACTGAGGTCCCCACCTGGCGATCTCCTTGGCAACCTTCTCGTTGGGGCAGGTGACGAAGGCTGCAGAGACGGAGCCGGGAACATAGCCAGAGCCCGAGGCCTGCGAGGGCTGGGACGGGGGGCTTCCTGAAGCCATGGACAGCAGGGCTCGGGGTAGCAACAGAAGGCGGGAGGCCCCAGGCAGCAGCACTGGCATCCAAAGAAGCGACAGGAGCAGAGCGGCCTGAGAGCAGGAGGTGAATTCGGTGTCTCCCCACAAATCCCCCCAGGAAACTGCATCCCAGGAACCTTTGGCTTGGGTAGACACTCAGATTCTGCCCTCCCTCTTTTGCACTCCAAAGGAAAAGGTCCCTGAAGGTCGGAAAGAAACCTGGAAAATTTAAGGCAAAGACTCTCTTTTCACTGCCTCCTGAGGGGCCAACCTCTGGGATGTGGGCGCAGGTGGTGGTCGCGGCTTCAAGGACCGGAAGGGGCGGGGCCGGCCACTCACCCCTCCGCCGAGCAGGATTGCGGAAGCCCGCCCCCGCCGCATGCAGCCTATGCTGGAGGAGGAGGGTTGAATATCAAAAGCCACACGTAACGCCGAGAAAGGCCCCCAAACCCAGGAACAGCGACCTCTTCTTACCTGGGCAGCAGGCACGTGATAAGAAAACAGCGCACACCACGTGACAGTAGAAACCGGACTACCCCGCGCCTCCAGAGCCAGCCAATCCCGGCCCTCACGTGGCCCGGCTTGCCCCGCCTCCTGTTGAGGGAGGAGCGCAGGGGAAATCTGACCAATCGACAGCCGGATCTGCAGACGTGCACAGAAATGGCATGCTCGCTTCCGTGTAAACCGGAAACGGCCAATTGCGGGCTGAGGAGAGCTCCTGCGGCGTTTTCCACTGTCACGTGAGGGGACCGGGCCCCTCAGGCAGCGGGACCTGAATGAGCGACGCGAAGAGGCCAATCACAGGCCAGCCCCGCAGGCCACGTGATGAGAGAGCTGGCGCTAGGAAAGGGGGGCTGGAGACCCCGCAGACTCGATGCGTCAGGTTGTGGAGTGGGGAATCATACTTAACCCCCAGAATGTGCCCAGTGACAGCCCCTGCCCTGTTCCCGAGGCCTTAAGGAGTGGGAGGGTCTGAGCAGATTGAACCTCGGGGGGCGAAGAGAGCGCCCCCTGCCATTTTGGTTAGGACTGACAGATGCTTGGGTTTGGGAATGAACAGTGATGATCTGAGGAGAAGCCAGCTGTCCCTGGGTAGAGGGAAGTGATTAGGCAGGCATGGGCTTGGCAAGACGAAGGCTAGGTGAAGAAAGATGCATTTTAAAAGGACAGAGTGAGACCCTGTAAATGGGACAGAGGGGCTGAGGGCGCCTCAGCCTTCTTAACTGAAACCCCAAAACTAGAGACTGTGAATTGAGGAGGTGGGGGCACATGAGAGCTGCAGGTTAGAGATATGGAGAGGACACCAGGAAGTAGTCATGGTCCTTTTGTCCCTTACACCCTTCCTATTTGACTCTCCAGGACTGGTCTACCTCTCAGCCTTGGGTCTCCTTCCATTAACCCATCCCCCCAGGAGCCAGGACCTGCCCTACATAACCTCCCTGGGGCCCAAGCACATCCTGTGACCCAAAAATGGAGAGAGGGGCCAATGAGAGGAGAGACAGGTGGGGGGAGGCAGCAGAGAAAAAGGCTCTTGCCACTCCCCTTACCCAGTATCCCCCCAAGGTCTGGGGTCTCCCGTCTGTTGGGTGGGTGTGACCAGGCTGATGTCAGTGTTCTCTCATACCTGCCTCTCTGGGGTTCGGATCTCCCTGAGATCCCTGCTTTGGGTTTGGAGTTTGTCTCTGAGATGGAGCTCTGTGGGGTCTTTCAGGATTTGCCTTGGGATCTTTCTCAGGATGGAGTTTCCTTTTTGTTTGGGGGGTTTCTGTGTCTGCAATCAGTCTCTCTCTGAGGTCTTTCAAACTCTTCTTGATGTGTTTGGGGTTTCTGAGTTCTTCATCTCTGGGCTAGCTGAGTGTCTCTTCTCTCTCTCCCTTCTCTCCTTACCCCCCACCCACCCAGGTCTGGAGTGTCTCTGTCTCTGAGTCTGCAGTTTCTTTTTTCTGAGATCTAAGACCGGGGTCTCAGATACCTCTCTCTGGATCTGAGTTCTCTAAGACCTAATTCTAGGTCTAGGTTCTTCTGAATCTGGGTCTCATCCTTTTCTCTGAGTCTCCATCTCAGGTCTTGGTGCCTGAAATCACCATCTGAGTCTGGAGTCTAAGATTTCTGTGGCTGTGGAGAACCTTTTTGAGACTGGACGCTCAGATTCTGACCTTTGATCCCTTTCTCAGGGGAGAGTCTGGGGTCTTTTTTTTCTGAAATTGGGGTCTCTGTTCCTCTAGATTTTGGGTTTGTGCCTCAGATTAACTCCCAGGGGGTAGCAAGGTATCTTTCTCCGGGTCTGGGGTCTCTCGGTCTCAGGGTCTCGGGTCTGCATCTTTAGAACTGCTCTCTCTCTCTGGTGTGTTTTTGAGTTAGGGGTCTCTCTCTCTCTCTGGTTCTCGCTGAGTAGGGGTGGGGGCTGCAGAGTCTCTCTCTCTCTCTCTCCTCCTCCTCCTGCTCTCTCCTCTTGCTCGCTCCCCCGCCCCCCTCTCTCTCTCTCCCGGCTGCCGCTGCTGCTGTTGGCTCCTATTCTCCTCCTCCTCCTCCTCTCTCCTCCTCTCTGCTCCTCTCCGCTCCTCTCTCCTCCTCTCTCCTCCTCCTCCTCCTCCACCTCCTCCTCCTTCTCCCCCTCTCTCTCCCCCTCTTTCTCTCTTCTCTTTCTCCCCCGTCCCCCCGCCCCCTCCCCCCCAGGCCTGATGAGCAGGTCTCGAGCCTCCATCCATCGGGGGAGCATCCCCGCGATGTCCTATGCCCCCTTCAGAGGTACGTGGTTGAGGGGAGGGGGAGGGCCAGTGGGGGGGGCACGAGGGGGAGGGGCAGGGGCGGGGGGTGGGGGGAGCAGAGCTAGGGCCAGGGAGGGGAGCAGCTGAAATGGAGGGAGAGAGGAGGACCGGGAAGGCAGGGATGGGAGCAGTGGAGAAGGAGGGGTTGGGCGCCAGAGGATAGGGGTAGATAGGGGCCCGAGGGGCCAGGAAACAGGCTTTGAAGGGGGCTGAGGGAAAAATGATGAAGGGGAAAGACTGCCAGAAAGGGTGGGAAGATAGAAGGATAGGCTTGGGGGAAGAGCTGCAGAAATAATTTGGAGGTGGGAGCTGAGAGAGGAGGAAAATATCAAGGAAAATAGAAGAACAGTCTTAGAAGAGGGGCTGGGGGGATGAAAACATAGGGGTGAAAAGAGAAGCCAAGAAGATGGGGGTAGAATATGGTGGGGGGGCTCAGAGAATGGTAGGGGGTAGGGAAAAAAGAGGAGGATGGAGGGAGAAAAGAAGGGGCCAGATGGAGAGAGAGGGAGGCAGGGAGGGGGGAGGAAAGAAGGGTCCAGATGGAGGGAAGAGAGGAGAGAGGGAAAGGGTTGGGGGAGGAGAGACGGGGGGGGGGGGGGGGGGCGGACCACATTATGTGTGTGTTTGTTGGGGGGGGGGCAATACAAGTAAGATTGAGTGATGGGAGTAGGGGGCAGGTTAGGACCCTGCCCCAGGCTCTGGCCCTCATTAAGGCCTTTGACCAGTGAAATGTAAGCCCTGGGGTCTTATCCGCTCCCTTCACTTCACCACTTTTACCCCCCTCCCCCACCTCCAATCCTTATTTCCATTCCTCCTCCCTCCTCTGGTGTCCATCACTTATATCTTTCCCCCCATATGGTGTCCGTTCCTTATATGAGTCCCCCTTCTGTCCTTCCCCTGTATCAGTCTCTTCTCTGGTGTCCATGCTCTCTCCCTGTCTTCTATCTGGTAGCTCCCTTATATCTTTGCCACCTCTTCAGCTCCTCCTCCTTGACCCCCTGCACCAGTACTCCTATTAGGTCCACCTCATTTCCGCTGCCCCGTGTCCATTTGGGCTCTTCTGGTATATTCCCTTGTCCCTAGGGATTTACCATCATTTATGCCTCCTTTTCTCTTAGATCCATCCCTGCTATTTGTCCCCCAGCCCATCCTCTACTCCCTACCCCATTCCCTCTCTTGTCACAAGTCTGTGCCTACCCACTTTCCCGTAATACCTCAGCTCTTATCACCTACTCCTCTTTGCTTGTCTCTTCTCTTCCTGGGGTGTTGGAGATTTGGGGTGCAAAGACAGGTTTTGACGGTTGGAACAGGGCCTATAAGAGATGCCCATCTGAGCTCTGTGGGATTTCTCATCCTAGTACATCTTTCTCCTTTCTCAGCTATGTTCCTGTCTCTTGCATCTGCCTCCTAGAGTCATCCTTAAACTTAAGTTCACACAGTGTGTGTGTGTGCGTGCGCGTGTGTATGTTTCCAGAGTTGCTCCTAAGCTAAGTTCCGTGTGTCCTTCCCTGCTCCCTGGAGGAAGGTGCCCCCTGAAGTCTAACTGCCTCCCGGTGGCTGCACCCTGAACCATCCCCTCCCATAATGATCATGTGTATCAACATTCTCCTCCTCTGGGGGTCCTCAGAGTCTGAGTGTGCGGGGCATGTTGCCTGCAGTGTCTGCAGTCTCAGAGCCTAGGTATTGGTAATCTCTGCATCTAGGGGGTACTGCTTAGCGTCTCTGAGATGGCACCGAGATAGTGAGAGTTTCAAAGTATTGGGGTTTCTAGATATCTATATTCTGGGGGTTCATCTCTCACTCTGATCTGCAGGTTGGGGAAATTGAAGGACATGTTTGTAGACAGAAAGGGGCTAGGTTTTTCAAAACTCTCCTACGTAGGGCATTAAGTTGGAATGAAGCTCAAAGACCAGTTCTTTTCCTGCAATATACGTAAGATTAATTATCCTGTAAAGGAGACAGAATTTGATTTTTCTTCCTCTAAACTTTCTCTTATTCTGATGCCTTAAGCTTATTTATTTTCTGTCACTTTGTCACCAATTTGATTTCTCTCTTACTCCCATAGGGCCTGTCCCCTGTGTTCCTGTGATGGTGTGTGGCATTGGGGTTTAAAGGAGAGGCAGTTTGCAGGGATGGGAGCATGGGAAGAACAGGAGAGTTGGGGAAGAAGGACCCTGGGGGCATCTCTGAGCCTGGGCAACCCTTAGTCTACTGTTCTTTTCTAGAAGTTTTGTCCCCATCCCCAGCTTTAGTCTTTGAAGGCCCCCTCCATATCATAGGCCTGGATCTTCTGTCCTTCCCTTCCTTCTTTCTTCCTCAAGCTCCTCACTGTGCCTTGGGAAGGTTCCTAACCTGTGGAGTTGGCTTCCATCCTGTCCATGGAAACTAGGTGGGGAGGGGAGAGGACAGTATTGAATCTTTTGATCTCTGGGCACAGAGTGGGGGAAGAGATCAATTCAGTCTTTAGTCATTCAAACAAGGGCATATTTCCTACCTCACTCCCCAGCCCCTCCACAGCCAGATGCTGACAACATCCATCCTCCCCCTACCACCAGAAGAACCAGAACTTGCCCCAAAGGATGAGCAGGGTGGGGCTAGGGGAGGAGGGAATGGAGGATAGAGGAGAGGCAGGAGGGGAAGCCCTCTCATGTCTGACTCTGTGAGCAGGTAAGCCCCCTCACTTCCTCTCTTTTCCAGATGTTTAGCTCTTAGAATTTCATGACCCAAATGTTTCTACATCCCCAACCCCATTCTTCTTTCCCACAGCTGTGCAGCTTTCCTCTTGCTCTCTTGCAGACGGGTGGTTCTTGTCTTCTGTAGTTATT